AGTGCTAATTTCCTGTACGCTGTATGCTATGGGCCGCTGGAAGTGATGAATCGCCTATTCGCGGTGTGGTGCTGGGGTTCCAATTGGTGTACGTTCCGTATTTATTCGGGAGGTGTCCTGCAGATGTTCCAGTTTTTCATCCATACAACCGTCGCTATTTGCCGCTGCTGCGCGGTGATTTTTCCGGTGCAGTATCGTGAACGGCACTCCACACGCGTCGCCGTTATACTATGTGTTCTCTGCTGGGTAGCCGCTCATTTGTTTATGGGACCGGCAGTGATTGTTGATGCTCTGCTCTATCGGCAACCGGAAACGATAGCCGGCTGCAGAATCAACTTAGAAAATTCGTCGTATCAGCGCGCCTGGATTTATCTAGTTCAAGCTCTGTGCTTTGCTACGCTCTTCGTTGTGCTGGCGCAGTATCCGGTGGTTTTCTACATCCAACGAAAACGCTTGCGACGACTGCGGCGTGTTGAGCCCCCGTCAATCACACTGCGAAAAAGTGGTAAGCCGAAGTCCAGCCCAGTTTAACGCGAAGTGGCTAACAGCTCGGTCCTTTTGCAAAACGGGGATGCCGCCGGCGCGTTACACGTTAAGACAACACTGTATCATATGCCAAATAAAGAAATGATTTTTGCACTTTAAAATGGGATCGGTTTAGTAATGCATTTGCTGTTAATGAGAAATTTGCTTTTAAGGTGAAAAATTTGAAGTAGATTTTTACAGAGCACAGATTTGGAACAAATATTCTGAAGTAACCATCTTATATATTGAAGTATTGAACGCTTATTATACGGACAGAATTCTGAATGATCAAAAACAGAAAACGAAGAAAAATTAAGGGTGCCAAGAATGTGCTGGGGGCACTCTGCCCCTGGATATTTCTGATCATATCTGCCGAACAAAGCCCTAAACAGAGATTCTGTCCGTACAATAAGCTTAGACTGCAGTACTGTATTTAATGCGATTTTATTTGAATTTTATGATGAATAAATAGGTTTACAGCGACTTTTCAATGTTTTTTTACGTTTTGTTCACTGTTAGCAAAGTGCGACGCAAAAAATTATTTTTCAGTTCACTTTACGTGCCCCTCCTTTGCCAGGCGTACAACTTATAATCTTTCGCTTGCTAACGAAAAAGGATATGATCATTACAATGGTTGTGTTATGTAGTAAAAAACACGCTCTACAAGATGAGCTATGGTAGTTTTTGGGAATTACAGTATTTTCAAAATTCGCTAGCCACTTCGCGTGAAATAGGTTTCTTGGATGCGCAGAATTAGTGCAATACCCAGATGCTCGAAATAAAATTAACCGCTTCATATTGTGACTAAACAAGGTACAGCAGTGGTAAAAAAATCGGCAAAAAAAACCGTACTGTACTGTACAGAGATTTACACGATGGCAAAGAAACCGACAGCTAGTGCGGACGGTCCTGGGGATTTCTGTGTCCCTTAATATAGTGAAATACAGTAATAAAATCGCCACTTTTATAACTGGAACTAGTCAACTAGGTAGAACTTATATGTTTTTGCCCACCCGTTGACCGTTGCAGCAGAACAAAGGCCGTCACTCGGTGCCCCAGAACCTTCAGCATCACATAAGCGCGAGACAAAGTCAGAAGGCAACGCCTTTTCATTGCTGTCGATGCTGACCGGCAGCCTGTTCATATGCTGGACGCCTTCCGCCATCATCTTGCCGGTCTTGACCATGGTGCAGGATCCCATTGTAATGCTCTGGATTTTCTCCCTGAGTCAACTGCAAGCCGTCGTCGATCCCGTAATCTTTACATTTTCCTTACCGGATCTCCGTAAACTGCTCTTGTTTTTTCGTAAACATACTGTTGGACCATGAAAACAGGTACGTTATACGTGCTGCTCGCAAGAAACCGTTGAAAGAACTCTTAGCAAACGAATTATTTTAGCTACGGACGGAACGCCAGGAAAAATGTGAAAAGGTCATTAAAATTTAAGATAACCCAAGGATTTAACGAAGAGTCTTACAAGTTGATGCTTTATCGGGCACTTTTCCTAAATGCTTTTTAATAATCGCATAAAATTCAAAATGTAGATATTGTATCGTCACGAAACTAACGGGCAATTCTTGTCACTTTGTGGCAAAAATCCACTTTCATCCAGGTCTCAGCATTTTACCCCCGGAATAAATGGCCAAAACGTCCGAATACGAATTCATGACACAGGCCACAACGTTAATGCCTTTCACAATTATCTATACAGGCCGTCGATACCAAATCTGCGCCAAAATTCCAGTTCCAGTTTAAACCGCGGACCGATTATCACTTTTTTAATTCCACGTACATACTTTCATATGCAAACCAGTCTGACAAAAATGTAAGTAATGCACTGTTTTCAAAAATATGTGTTGTTTGCTAGAAAAAGGATACGCATTTGCAGTTATTGCAGTTATGCGCATTTGTAGTTATTGATTATTGAAGATCAGGGGAAGCGCTATTCCTTCATTATGGATGTTCGTATGATATGCAGTATGTCCGTGTTAGTTTTGTTCCCGGTCGAGCAAAATTAGCACTTAACCTGCTGCCATTGATATTGCAGAACACTTCAAGACGCCCACGTAGTACGCGATGCCATAAATGCGGTTTACTATAGGAGTAGGAGGCAACAACGAGAAGCCGTCTCTTTTGCTTTTGCTCTTCCCGTGAAACTTCCGCAAGCAGTTCATACAATCTTTTTTTATCCGATATTATTACAAAATGCACATTCTTTATACAGAAGGCAAACCGCATACAGCACAGCAAAAGTACCACGCAACAACATAAGGCGTTCTGCAACTTGCAAGCGTAGTACAGAACGAAAGTGACAAAAAATATTAGGCGAAGATTAGCCTCTTCTGGTCACGCAGGATCTTGGAAAGGAAAGCCACTTCAAACAACTGAACCGTGGGAATTTCCTCATGCGGAACATCATACATATTTGAAGCGCTAATAATGTAGCTAATACCGCACCTTCTCGACTATTGGATTTTGCTGTCTGGTCCGGAAAACCGGACCATGCTGCTCTTCACTCAAGTGTTATTACTAAATATGTACCAGGTGTTATTATCAAATACTTAAGCCAGGATTCGCGGTTGTGTAAGGATTCAGCCGTATTGCAACTGTATGTCGTTCCCAGGATCACCAGCACCGGAAGGAACTGTCACGTCATTTGTAAAATTATTGTTACTAATGCATTTTCTCTTTTAAGAATGCCTAACAATGCCAGTAACTGGAACGCTTCCACTAATCAATTGTATCCAGACTGGAATTACGTGGCAGTTACTGCACTGACAACCCTTCTACTGTCCCTAGTTACCAACGTTACCGGGGTAATTTTCTTCATCGTTCAGTACCGTGCGTCGCGAAATTCTTTCATCATTTACGTGCTCAGCTTATTATTGGCAAACCTTATATACACCGTGCTGGGTGGTTCACTGGACGTCGTCAATGATCTGTTCCCAGTGTGGTTTCTGGGTTGGCACTGGTGTACTGTGTATCTATACGGAGTATGGGTCATCCCAACTGTGCAAGCCTTCATGCATCTGACGATCACCGTTAATCGCGGGTTTGCGGCCGCGTTTCCCATTCGCTACCGACAGTATCACACACACCGGGTAGCGGTGGTATTATCGGCGAGTTCCTGGCTGGCTGGACACATTATAGTTCTCCCAGGTACTTCAGATTTCAAAAATTATTTGAATCAAATATGTACTGTACTATAATTATTCTGTCGCTGTAAACTAATATACTTCTATGCTTTCCCAGTTAATGAAGTTGAAAAAAAAATACCGTCCATCTTCTTCCACTGCTTACTAGTATCTAGCAAAACGCGTGACTTAAAGTCAAAAGTAGTCCATCAAAGAATTTTCATCCAAACGCTGATTTTCTACACTCAGTGCACTGTTTATTAATGCAATACTCCGAGTTATTTGTACAGTTTTATACTGTGTACTACAGTAGATCAATGTAAATGTATAAATGTAACATGTTGTAACTGCTATTAATTTTTCTGCCAATATGCAGCCATTTTTGCGATGGGTTCTTTCTTACTTCTTGCACTGGAAGGGTAAATATTCGAAAGCCTCGAAATGCAGAGCATAGCTCAGTTCAGAACGATGGTAGCATAACATTCGAACTTAGTGAATTTTCTTTGCAGGCGTCATTTTAGATGGCATATTCTACCGACCGATGACGGATGAATCGGCTAAGATCTGTCATCTGGATTCGTCTGTTACCGCTGGACAAAAAGCCTGGATGTTAACAAATCAGTTTGTCATCTGCGGGATACTGCTGGTCATTGTCCTAATGTATCCGTACGTGTTATTCGTTAAATACCGGTCGAGAAGAAAGGTCCACAGACAGGGCACACAGACCACTGCACCCACCATCACGCATGCTACAAATATTGTTGAAACCGGTACGTCCTTTTACCAGTTAAACAGAGCGACGGTGTAATGCTGCCACAAGACATCGTCTTATGTGTTGCAGAAGGACCAGCACCTCAAAAGCTACGCCTACGAAACAGCAAGGGCGTTGTCCTCCTTACGATTCTGACAATCAGCTTGCTTATCTTCTGGACGCCTAATACCGTCTTTTTCGCCGTTGTCCCTTTCCAGGATGAATACAATGAAGTGGTTGGGAACATTGTCACGATGCTTGTTAACTGCCAGATGGTTATCGATCCGCTCGTGTTTGCGCTAGCGTTAAGACAAACATCCCATTAGGTTAGCAAAGCGAGTGCTCCGAATGAAAAGTAGCTTGTGCTATCACGTAACGATTGGGTCAACAGATGTATTTAAATGGATTATGTACCAAGTCGCCATGTTGTAATCCGCTCACAATGGTTAACTACCAAGCTTTCAGGTTTGTAATACTAAACCGGAGCAAGTGCTTTTCTTTATTGTACTCTACTTTAAAAGATCCAAGAAATGAACTGGTAATTTAATTATTGAATTTATTATTATATTTTTGAGCAGTCGGACAATGGACATTTGCAGTCATCTTTTACCTCCGGCAACGTATGACTTATTAGTCAGATCAAGGTTATGCATGCAGTATCACGAGAATAATTACAATTGACTGAACGCTAAATAACCAGTAATATCCCAGTGTCATAAAATAGAGCATCAACCATATGAAAAACAAAGCAGTTTGTACAGGTATCTAAGTAGAAATACAGAGTACAGAAGCAGCATTAGATTAAGGTATGGTCAAACTCGTGTGGTAAGATAAAGCCATCTCCGTCAACATCGATTTCCCTGTACCACTCTGGGATTTCCACTTCTGCGGTTCCCCGTGGATATCGAGTTAGAGTCTTATCGGACAATTTCAGAAAAGCTCTGCACTCATCCAGATCCAGCTTGTCATCGCCATTGATGTCTGCAATAATAAGGAAATAGTAGAAACAAGCACGAACGTTAACAGTCTGTATAGTACTGGGTCTGCTATCTGGTGACTCTGGTCTACATAAGCTCACAGCGCGTCAGACGGTCTAAGACAACATACTGTAAATACAAAATGCATGCATAGCGGACAATATACAGAATACAGGACTAAACAGGAAAGTGTTTTGAATCTATTAATAAAATGAAAAACATTGTGACCCACAGGAGGACACCCAACTGTGCAGCTGTAATCCTCTTATCAAAAACTGTAACTAATATACCGCAGCTTACCAATGGTGATGAATTTGTGCAGTGCGGTGCTGTTGCGGTCGCTCTCCCGTTTTCCTCGGCTAGTTAACGCGGCAGGTATGTGTTCCAATGGATTTCTAGCACTGCATTCACTCTTTGGCTTGCACCCGCCTTTGCAGTTGCAGCAAAAAATGTTGCACTTGCCCTTACCACAGCAACCTACCAACGTAGCTCTATCGCAACACGCGGCCGCCGATGTGATGCAGGCCAGTGCGAAAATGCCGCACAACAAGACAAAGTTGCACGAGCTGGCCATACTGGGAAAAGCCGCGTTACTACGCGCTTTGCTAAATGGCTAAAACAAATGAGATCGAAATACGGGAAAACTTGTGGATATTGCTTACAACAGTTGCTATATGGGTATCAACGGCGCTTTCTTTTATAATATAGCTTTCGATGTTCCTGGCTGATTCTGAATCATCCGGAACAGGAAGCATAAACAGAACACTAGTGCCCGGATTGTAGCATATGACGGAACGTTTGCATTAAAGGACCCGGTATCTGATTAAACTCACACAGGTTCTGTGAAAGAATGCCCGAAAATTCCAAGCAGTAGTGATCTAATCATGCGCAGATTTTGCACTTGTATGTATGACTAATCAAGTGCACGCGGCAGAGTCCGAACTTTGATGTATTCTCCCACGGTTGAGATACTTTTACTAAGTCTGATTTTATCCGCTAAATTTGATTTCATCAATATCCACCTCAGTTTCATTTTGTCAAAGCAGCCTGTGTGTAAATACAAATAGCGTTGTATTTAATATTTGCAACATTATTAATTACTGGGCGACGTATGAACGATCCTCCGTTTGTCTAAATAAGCAATGCGTGTGCTTGCTGATGAAGATGGCAAAATTAAAATTAGCCGAATAATTAACGTTTAACTTCCAATTATTTATTAACGGTTAACTGGTTGCAGCCCACGAAATTACATCAATCGACTTTATAGTTACTGCAGAGTAGCAACTAAAAGAAATATATCGAAGAACTTTTAGTAAAAGCCCCCGCTGAATGTGCTAGGCAGTTGTCGAAGTTGGGTTTGTGCTTGCTGAAATCCGCACTTATCTGCAAGTTGATTTGAATTTTGAGATAAACTGTTTCGATCGGAAGCGACCATTACAGTTTAGTATAGGTAAAACGCAGTTCTTTGGTGGGTTAAAACTTATGGAAATATGCCAGAAATGCCAGAACCAAACCATTCCGTTATTAAGTCGAAGTGGCAGAGACAACGGATGACATTGGTACTTTTCGTTACAGGTGCGTTTTTGTTACAGGTAGGTTTCGTAAGCATTTTCTCGTGTTGCTATTCTTATATATCAAGCATAAAAAATTTCCAAACAACGGACCGTTCGCGATTCGTTAAAATTATTCTATAATAATACAGCCCTGTAACCTTTCGTTTCTGGAATAGCTTATATCCTATCCTATAGCATCATATCCTATGTTGGTCGCTTTATCATATCGCCATTTCCATAGCATGAAAATCTGATTTTCAGAGGAAACCGGTACTAATAAACGAAGGGATGATCTAAAGTCTAAACACAAAACAGAAAAAATACTAAGCGTAAACAGCTCTGTTTTATAGCAATTGCAAATGGGCAAATGCTGAAAAAGGGATTTGCTGCAGCGTTATCACCCCACGGAACAGGGACGGCAGTCATCTGGGTCGGATGCAGGTCGACCTTGATCGACAAAGGAAACAGCCGATCATCCACGCTGGCGCCGATCCCCGTTGTTCCGCAATAAAGACCAAAACTAGGGTAAACACATGCAGAAGCAGGACAAAGCTGCCGACATACACCAGTATCATCATCCCAGTGGCACATCTCGTGATAACTGCACCCAGGACAAGGCCGATGCTGATTACCGTAAGACCGTAAGAAACCGGTATCTCAAGAGGAACCTCACTTCGGCCGTTATCGTGCAAAGAACGGCGCGACAATCGTGCAGAGTGCGCTTCAGCTCTTCAGCATATCGTAACTCTCAATTAGTCCGTAATTGTTTGTGACGATGATGCTGCTGTTATACATCATGATGTTAGTAATGATAATGCTGTTGGTAGCCGCCATCTTGCCGGCCTCTTTTGCACCTGTTGAACGGAACCGAGTAAGGGCAGTCCACTGGTATAACTGGACCGTGATTTAATCATACCTGCGTGCTGTGTCCACCGGCTGCATTGTGACGTTACTGAAGGTTTGTTTAGCGAAACAAAAAATAACTGGCAACGGACGCTGATGGTCCGAATCATTATGGAGAGGAAGAATGCCAGATAATAATAGGTGTCCCGGAACTCTTCGGAGAGGTTAACTTTCCGCCAGCTGACCATGATTGAGTGACTGCAAGCGCTTTGAGAAATTATACCCGTTAAAAATGTGGTACTGCTAGAAAATTTCCGTAATGCAGATCCCTGACGATCGTTGCGATAGAATGGTATTATTATCGCACAACTGCGTTTAGCGTGAACCCTGAGCTGTGAAAGTAATACAAATACCGTTATCTGCTTCGACCTTGGTAAATAAAATTAAAAAATCATCATCGCAGAGAATGATATCGTCGCTGCACTGAGCAGCCATTTGCTTAGCTTGAAATGGAATGGATACAAAGGAAAGCAGGAAAAAATGGATTTTTTTTTCACGGAATTCTCTTTTTCTCTTCAGCAACGGTCACTAACTTAACTGACGAACTTACTCGGCAACTTTTCTCTAGCACGCGATTTTTATTCAGACAGGTAATGCATATCTTACAAGTGGCAAAAATAAAAATATGGTAACACAGGAGTATAAAAATACGATGGCATAAGAATTAAATTTGGTTGCTTTTTTAATCTGCTTGCAGCGCAGAAAAGGGCGCCGTAATGTATGCAATGTAAAGAAAGCAGAATATTATTCACTGAAGATTTTTCTTTTTCGTTGAACTGGTTTTGCTTGACACCATACCAAAATTTTTGTTGCTTAAGCTCGTAAGGCGTGAGCTAGCTGTTCGACGTGATGCTCTGGAAACGAGTCAATGTCCTGTATCACACCATACCCAGTTGGTACGCTGACTAGTACATCGGAAGCTGCCATATCTCTCCGCGTTTGGCCAACAACGGGAACAGTCGGAATAAGGCATGAATTACGTCGTCGACAACTGAGACAGTAGGTCATCCACGTTGGCATCGATCCATGGATCTACGCAATATACACCATAACCAAAGTGAAAATATGTAGACCCAGAACACTACTGCCGGCATAAACCAGTATCATGATCCCTGTGAGGCTTCCCATGATAACGGCACCCAGTACCAAGCCGGTGCTTATGACCATACAAAACCGGTATCCGTGGAAAAGCCTGACTTCGGCCGTTACCGTGGCGAGATCAATACGCTGAAAATACAGGGTTCTCTTAAGCTCTTTAGCATACAGTAGACTTTGGGTCAGTCCCACACTGTTAACGATGATATCCAAATGATGTAGACCGATACAATAGCTTGAGCACTTGCTGGACACACAGCCTGTTTCGTTTGTTATATTTTGTAACTGGTCGGCGTTTATACGGGTTTACCCACCAGTTTTCGCAGTGGCTGCTTCGGGGGTTGATTGATCAGAAGCCAGATATGTAGGCAGTGGACGATAATGGCCCTAGTGTGATGTTCAGTATGGAGAAGCAGAATACCAGGTAATAATGCGTGCGCTGAAACGCTTCAGATAGAAGCACTTCTCGCCAACTAACCATGATCGGTTGATGCCGATTAATTTTGAAACGGAGTTATTTCACGGTCAGAATGATTTTGTCGATCGCCTGTTATAATACTTACACGTGCGTTCCAGAATGATTATGGCAATTGTGCACCACTTTAAATTAATGTATTCCTCCCAGCACGTAGGGCCCGAAAAAGCAATTAACATACTGCGAAGTATTGGGCTACTTGTCTATAACGTTTGTATTCATCGCTCCAGCCGGAACAAAATGTTATGTACAGGCTGTACAGTTTCCCAAGTAATCTTTTGCATTGTTCTTTTGCTATCCGTGTAATCTACTTTATTCTTGATAACAGATAAGTAGTCATATGCCGAAGATTATAACGTCTCTCAGCTGCGCAGCTGATGATATCATGGCGCCGGTCACCCGGAAGTCATTTTCTGACCTGGGTGCTTTTTAAGAAAGACAAATAGCTGATCTAACGCACGCTTATCAACGAAAGCCAGCGCTTATCACTGGGAGCCGGAAATTGGCGATTTATCAGTCGCTACTTATCAAAGTCAATATCAAGAAGCTCCGAATACCGTATTTCGTGACGAGAATCGCTAATTTAACGCAGTACTGCAGTTTTGAGCGGACAGGAATGAATGATCGATTTTACGGCTCAATTAAACACTGGCCGTTGCATTTGCATCTATCTGTAACAGTTTCAAACTTTCGCTCCTGAGAAGTATGCTGTGCCAAGTCTCCTCGATTATGGTATCGCTTAGCTCCCGTTATTTTGTTCCATTATACTGGATGCACCATAGAAACGTATCTGCAAAACTGCTTGCAGTTAGCACTTTGATTTATTTTTTTAAACATGTCTCAAATCAAAGTTTGGTTTAATAAATTTCAATTTAGACGACAGGTTCGAATGTTTTGATCAAACAAAAAAATCTAGAAATGACAACGCCTCAACAGTACCTTGGCTTTCCCGCTAATAAATGTTAGTTAATGGAAAAAAACTTTTATATAAACGGCTTTTTACTACTGTACACGGAGTGGGACGGTGAAGGCAGAGAGCGGTGGCGATACTGATGTCGGCAACGGTAAAGATGAAAGCTGAAATGGCCCACACAGGCACAGAACGTCTACCCAAGGTACTGCACGAGCTGTGTACGGGTATGTTGCACACTTAACCCAGTATATCGCGTACCCAAAATGGAAAAATCAATAATATTCGCTCACCCTTCCCCAGTAACATCGTCTTTGCCCGGGGCGGATTATTGGCGCATTATGAAAGTCCGTGGGTTACCGACAACCTGCTGCAGTCTGTACTCTAACTTCATTCAACAAGCGACGATAGAAGACACTGCGCGGCTCTTGGCGTCCTGACAAGCTAGAGTAGAGTGGGAAACCTGACCGCAGCTCTTCGTTTTGAAGTTGTTAGCAGCTCTTCGTTTAACAACTGTATCAAACGGGCCTTAGTCTTTCCTTCTCGCTCAGTTGCTGGAAAATAGCGCTTGACTTTAAAGCGGGACGTGATTACTCATTTCTTGCATCAGTGATGGCGCCATCCCAGCATCGAACTGTCAGCAACTTGATGCCATGGAAGTCTACACTGTATGCTTTAGTATGGACTTGTTCCGTCATCCAGCTAATGCTTGCGTTGCTGTCCGTTTTTATATGGATTCCGCTAGGCAAGACGTCTATTTATCCTCTTGGTTCCTACGAATTTCCAGTTTGGCGTAATGAGACTGTTTAGCACAGTGCAATTTACTTTCCTCCGCACACATTTTAATTTCTAATTTATTGTCATACTATCCTTTTTGTTCGTTCAGACTGTCTAACAGAATTGAGATAGCTAATCAGATTTCTTAATCAGATTTCTTATTGCACAATCATAACAAATGCTTTAAAAATTATACGATGTTATACAGTCGACAGTGTCAACTTAATATGCAATACAATTATAGAAGTTAATTTAAATTGCATTCTCTGCAAAAGGAAACAATGAAATATTGAAACTTTAATTGTTAAGTAATCTGTCACAGTTTTAAAACGTAGAATATACGAGTACATTCGGTTAAATTCCGTGCGACGTTAGATCGACGCCTAACGATCCGTTCTGTTGATAAGTTCGCAAAAATCGATGCAATAACACAATCATTAGCCGTGATGTTTCAGGATAATATCGCCCGTTTCGTAAATAATAAATAACCGGAAGCGTGGTGTTAAATTTTGCAGACAACACGGCGCACAGCCATCGGGCAATGGGATACGTTTTCAACATGTGGTCGTTGCTTTATAACGTTGCTGGAATGATAGTCAGTCTCTGGGGCTATGAAAAATACACTTTCGACCGCAAAACGATTCACGACCACCACCCACCGGGCTTCGGGATCGGAAAACTTTACGTGACCTGCATAGTTATCAACATGTTGTTCGCACTGGGGGTTGTTCTGCAAACCGCTCTACAGGAAGGACCCGTCGCCATGATGCTCTTAACGGCCGTCGCATTTCTGCTTCTCTTTGTTAACGGTGTGTGCATGGTCGTCACTGCCATTGCTCTGAGAAATGGTCGATTGCCGACCGCCGTCACCGACCTACTGCTCGACCCCTTAAACTATCGCGCAAGCGATCCAACAGCGGATACGAGCCCTTTTAACGACTATTATGAATGGACGTCCTACCAGGCTTTCCTAAAATTGGCGTTAGGATTAACAGTATTGCCGGTGACGATTGCAAATAATCTACATGGCACGTACACATTGAGAAAATGCATTAAAACTGCACACTAGGGTGCGTCACACCCTACGTTACGACATTTGGAATGGGAGGTGCATAGCTAATACTGTTGCTTAAATCTTCACGAAGTAATCAATAAAAGATTTCTGTATAAAAGGGAAAGACTACGAAATACCTAAGAGGGGATAATTGGAGGAAGTTATATTTGCGATAATTATTGTATATTGACCATCGTTCAAGGCGTCAACGAAGCGCTGAGCGTATTAGCTGTGCTATCCAAATTGTCGGCACCGTGACATTTCCCAGGACAACTAGTCGCAGGACACTTAATCGCAGACGTTTTGCTATGTAATAAACAAGCTTAGGAAAACTTAAGAAAAGTATAAAAACTAACCAGGGCACACAGGGGTCCTTCAAATTCAGAAAAATTTCATATTTTGTAAAATGGTAGTATACTATCATAGTATGTATGCTTAAAAAAATATTTTCATCTGCCATGGTCAAGGGGGCGTGGCCAGACAGCATTTAAAAGTTTGCATATGATCACGTACTATGCAATGCAGTGAGTGGAGTTATTCGTAATTAGTTTTATATTAAATTTTTACTGTAGCACCGTGAACTTCTGAAATTGTCGAGTGGTGATGTAAACGAAGACCACGTGCGGCGGCTCGTGTCACTGCTGCCTAAATACACATTTTCGAAAATTTGTATTAGTTTTATATTGAATTTTTACTGTAGCACCGTGAACTTTTGCAGCTGTCCCGTTGTGATGTAAACGATGCCCACGTGCGGCGGCTCGTGTCATTGTTGCCTGAGCACACATTTTCAAAAATTTTTTTCAGTTAGTATTGTATGTAGTAAACCCTGCAAAAAACTTCTTTTACTGATTAGCAGAGATGTACTCGTACTGCACTTCGTAATTACGAATAACTCCGCTCACTGCATTGCATAGTATGTTGATAACACGCAAACTTTTAGATGCTGTCTGACCACGCCCCCTTGACCATGGCAGATGAAAATATTTTTTTAAGCATACTACGATAGTATACTACCATTTTACAAAATATGAAATTTTTCTGAATTTGGAGGACCCCTTTGTGCCCTGGTAAGAATACACTGAAAACTGTGAAAACTAAAAGCGTCGGCTTTTTGGAGGCGAATTGTCGCGTGATTCGAGAGTTCCCAGGTGAATTGTCCGCGACCAGATGTCATGCGTCAAAATGCCGGAAAGGTAAAATATTTCAATGCAAGATGTCCTATTTCGAAGTGTCCAGCGTCCCTGTGTTACGCTATGAAATGTTTTCGCGGCAAAAAGTCGCGTGCTGAATTTTTGTGCGGCGAAAACGACGTGGATAGCAAACCATGCTGAACAATTAATTACTGGTATGTGCAAACGGAATCAATTTTCGCCTGGTTAAGTTGCGTGCCGCTTTATAACTTGAACATCAGGGCATGCGTATTTTTACCCTTTTCGTCTTTTACGAATAATCGTATGGTTTTAGGGCTTATCGACATCTTTCGATTTACACTTCGTCGACCGACACAATGTTGTCCGCCACGAGCGCGACGGCTAAGAAACTATGAAAATCTCAGAAAATCTGAGAAACCTGAGGAAACATATGGAATCCATTTATGTGCAAAACTGGAAGGGGATGGGTCCATAATGAGATTTTTGGTATACCTGAATGCATTTAAACTTTTTGGAATTTTCTCATGGCCATAACCCGAACCGGATGTTGCTCGCAAAAACGGTTTTTTACGCACGTGTATACGAGTCATCTGGCTACGGATGACATAACAAAACAGCAATATGTTCGGGAGTGTATGAAAGTAAAAGTTTTCGTTCATGTACACGAATTGGTACTATCTACCGGGCCGCTTCCCTTATACGACCATCCTCCATTCACTTATCATAGTGGATCACTAAGCGACCATACGTACAGTTCGACGTTATGACAGGTCGACATCGTGCCTGTTTGGTTTAATGACGGTCGACGAGTTTCCGTCGACGAAATGACGGGTCACAATATTGTCTCATTTTGCAGAGGTGGATACCACTGGGGAAACCGTAATTTATGGAACAGTTTCCACGGCGTGGATGGTTTTCTATAACCTTTTCGGACTGTTCGGCACAGCAGGACTTATCAAGTCATCACGACCGTCTCAATCCGCCACAGGCCAGCTGAGTGCGACGCGCGGACTGGATTTCTTTCGCATCTACACATGGCTCATGATTATTGGTATTCTATTCGCTGTGGCTGCCATCATGGAAGGAACAAACAATCAAGCATACGAAGTTCTCCTGGGATGGGGCATCCTCTACGTGGAGCTGGTTTTCGCCTTCCGCTCCACGGGCATGGCGGCGGCATATTGGTCACGGACGGCAAACGAAGAACTACGGGCCATGGAGGCTATTTGCCCACGTCCATGTCGTGCCACGGCTCGATCCCCACCGTTGTCGTCAACTACACACTACCGATGTTATCGAAGATCCACCTGTGTACACTGACGTTGCGCCACGAGACAAAGTGGATCTCCCTCCATCCTACGCGGAGATGGCGATTGCTCACAATAGTGCGGAAGCAGAAGCTGGGTCGCTTTTGGGCCCCTCTTGCACGCGGGTGGAAAAGAGCGAATTCGAAACGTGTAAAGAAGCACTGTGAGAAACGCCATGTCTTAACAGTGAATATGTGAATATCTACTGCATGTGAATATCTACTGCATGACAGTCGAAATTTCAGTTGTAATAAATATAAATTAAAATTTTTGCGCTTAATAACATGCCGATCTACAGTATTTTATCATGCAAACTCGTGCACCTACTGTATATAAAAATAGCAATGTTTGTCCGAAAAAATTGACCCGCTCTGTTTTAAGGTTTAACGCAGAATGCGGAAGCAAGCCTTTTTTCAAACCCAGCGCTAGCGATGCATTCGCATCAGATGTGCGGTTGAATACTGTCTGTATGATAGCGAACATTCAGCAGTAATAATTTTATTATTTAGCGACTCGTGCCACTTACTAATCCAAAATCTGCCTATTTTAACACCCGTCCTGGTGTGTAGAAATGCAGGTACAACATGTGGCTGAAAAAATTGATGCTCTGTTTTGCTTTGTCTGCCGTATTGCGCAAACAAGTGCTACTTTCTTGGCCCATGCTCAAACTCGGACTTGGACTTGGACTACTAAAACTTGGACTTGACTTCACTTGGACTCTAAAACTTGGACTTCACTTGGACTCTAATACTCGGACTTCACTTGGGCTCTGAAACTCGGACTTCACTTGGACTCTAAAACTCGGACTTCACTTGGACTCTGAAACTCGGACTTCACTTGGACTCTAAAACTTGGACTTTATGACTTGACTTGGAATTAGGCGTTTCTTATGTTACTTATGTCTTCTTACGTTTCTTCATGTTTTCTTAGGTTTCTCAGGTTTCTTAGGTTCTTAGGTTTCTTTGGTGTTCTCATTTAGGTCTTTTAGGTTTCTCAGGTTTCTTAGGTTTCCCAGGTCTCTTAGGTTTCTTAAGTGTTCTTGGCCTTCTTTCGTGTTCTTAGGTTTTTTTAGGTCTCTTAGGTTTCTTAGGCTTTTTAGGTGTTCTTAGGTTATTCTTTGGTTTCTTAGGTTTCTTAGGTTTGTTAGGTGTTCTTAGGTTTTTTAGGTCTTAGGTTTTTTAAGTTTCTCAGGTTTTTTAGGTGTTCTTAGGTTTTTTAAGGTCTCTTAGGTTTCTTAGGTTCCTTAGGCTTCTTAGGTTTCTTAGGTTTCTCAGAATACCAAAGAATACCTAGATAACCTAAGAAATGTTGTAACCTCAGAAACCTAAGAACACCCAACAAACCTAAGAAAGCCAGAGAAGCCTCAGAAACCTGAGAAACCTAAGAAACCTATGAACACAAAAAAAGAAACCGAAAAAACCTAAGAAAGCTAAGAAACCTAAAAAAACCTAAGAAACCTGAGAAACCTGAGAAAACATGAAGAAACGAAAGAAGACATGAGAAACGCTTAAATCCAAGTCTGAGTCATAAAGTCAGAGTTTTAGAGTCCAAGTGAAGTCCGAGTTTTAGAGTCCAAGTGAAGTCCAAGTTTTAGAGTCCAAGTGAAGTCCAAGTCCAAGTTTTAGTAGTCCAAGTCCGAGTCCAAGTCCGAGCTTGAGCGCGGGCCTACTTTCTTCAAGCCCAGTGCTCGCGATTTACGGTATACCGTATATGCATTGGATATAGTAGATACCCCTCCGCTTATAGCGGGCCACCCACCGGGCGTAGGTAATTAGGGGTAACTTACCGGCCGTTGCAACGGTTGGGGTTAAAAGTCAACTGCCCCCTGGACAGCGGCACCTGGCGTCGCTTATTAGTGTGCGATCAAGCGTGACGCTAGTGTGCAGCGGTGCGTGACACATATGTTAGCGAAACTGTAAATAAATTAATATATATATATATATATACAATATATGTACAAGTACTTAATATAGTACTTAATATAATAATACTGTGTCCGGTCTATGACAACCGCTGACCTTTCACCAATGAATTCGGCCGCTGGCTATTAAATACCGGTGCCAAAAAATCAGTCGATCGGTCTTATAAAATTTCAAATTTTATAAATTTTAATCCGGTGAAAAAAAAGATGACAATCTTCTCTAAATACTTAACGGCCAACGAAAGGGCCGCGGTGGGTTTCCCTCATGTGATGGCGAACTATGACGCCTTCTACACATACGTAGAACACCTGGATGCCGACGGCCGTGAACAAGTGGTAAATAAATTAAATTAATATATTAATTCATTTATTTATAAATTTTTAATATATTACATAAATATTTATTATATTTATTTACAAAATATTTTAACACCGGGATGCGTAGGTGGGAGTGCTCGGTGAGCTCATGCGGGCAAACTCAGCGATAGGCCGCTATTTCCGGACGCGATCAGAGCTGGAAGCCGAGATCGCTGAGATGGGCGCGACGGTGAGCAGAATCGCCGGCCGGAACGGGGACGCGCTCGATCGCGCCGGAGAGGAAGCGGCACTGCTCGCCCAAATTGACCTCGAACCGACACCCGCACGCCGCCGCAACTGCAACAGTGACCCCAGCTGGTCACTCAGCTGGATACTGGCATACTTGTCCGGGGAAGTGCGGCGGCCGTCGGCGAGGGGGGATGGGAGCGTGGTCCTCGTGCCCAACATGGGCGCCGCGGTGAATCAACAGAAGAGACGCGAGAACTGGAAACATGTTCTGGGGAGCGTATGGCGGACTGCCCGGAACGTCGTCCTGAAGCGTCCACCGCGGCGCCCATACGCTGAGGTGTTGGACCAGCTCACCAGAAAGGTGGAGGAGGTTGCCCGCGTAGATCGCCTGGCGGATCAGATCAGCGTGCGCCGGACCGAATTTTTCGCCGTGTTCACGCTGGGGCTGGTCGGACTGTCCACGCTCAATCAGGTGCGCGCAGCAGCAGATGTTTTTGTCACCTTCGTAGATGGTGAGCTCGCGCGCCCTGAATAATATTTTATTATTATAATAATTTCTAGTCAAATTAATATTTTTATTTATTTTTTATATTATTGTGATATTACGTACTCTAGTCATAAGATTAATTATTATATACTGTGTTATTAGTTTTTGTGATACTACCATTTTTACTGTGTTGTTCTGTGATATTAAAGCACTTTAAAGTATGTACGAGTAGTTTCCTTAACAACAAAAAGAAAAAAATAGAAGACCGGGAGTTGAACACTGGACCTTGCGGTAAAAAGTAGAATACACAGTACACTCGGCCACTATACAATACTAAATTGCATTGCTATATTTTGCGAACGGCGTGAACACAAAACATGATAAAAATATTAAAAATAACTGAAACTACACAGTACTGTATACGTAACACCAAATGTATCGCAAATGCAGAATTATTACTGCACATTCGCACGTATTAATTTCAGGATTAAATCAGGAGGAGTTCTGATCCTGAAATTAATACGTACGAGTGTGCAGTAATAATTCTGCATAGGCAAAAGTCCGCAAATCAACCGCGGCCGTACGCAATACACGGTAGTACGCTCACATCTTGTGAAATAGTAATCGTTAATTACATTTGTAATTAATAATTATTGTTTCGCGGGTTGGTGGTACGCTGGTCCGGTGGCGGTGTGCGGTATCGGACGGTGTGTCGGTGGACACTGCGGAGGGGGTGATCTTACATTCATGACCATAATCATATTGAATATGATCATAATCAATATGATCATGGTCATGAATATATGGTCGCCGTGCGGTGATTCGGCAGGGCAACTGGCGGCATACAGCCATGAAATCATAATTACAAAATATGATTCTATCGTTCATAATTTATAATTATGATCTCACGGTGGCGTATCGGTAGACGCTGGCGCGGTGGTCCTCCATCCGTAAAGAACCGAACGGCCATTTGGCAGCACATCCGGCGCGGTTTTCTGTGGCATTTAACACGAACACAAATTCATAGTTGCAACTAAAACTATGAATCTGTATTCGTGTTTAACAACACAGAACCAGATTAAAATTAGAAAAACAACTACAGCAGTAGGTTGTAGTGAAAAGTAGACTTAACCCTACACCTACCGCACATACTAAAATTAACCCGTGTAACATCCGTACGGCCTCACAGACACGACTACGCCCACCGATACTGTGTTCGACCAATAGGAGTGTTTGTAGTGAGAAACACTGGTAAACGAAGAAAATAACGGTCTAAATATTTTCGCGTTGTACTCTGAACCTCATTTAGCAAAAATGGAGTATTCGTACTTGGAATTTGTCAGTAATTTACCCGATAGGGAAACGCAGTGGTATACGTTGGGAAAGTCTGTAGCGGCTTACGTCCAACCCCGTAAGCGTACTGTTTATTTACAGCAGGTTATGTCATTCTCAGATTCCAACAAGCACATCGCCAGAGAATACGGGATTAAACTGGGGGCGTTGGAACTGGCGCAGATCCTACGTTTAGAAGATAACAGAACTATGCGGAAAACCACAGACGCTCGGCTGAAAGGACCTCAGCAAATTACTTTGCTTAAAAAAACTGGTACTGTTCTGACCATTTATCCCCCGCATTATCCGGATGAAATCAACGATCCAGTTCTCGGAATTGGACAAGGGAACAAGAATATTAAAATGCGCTTAATGTCTTTTCAGCTACTTATGCTTGAAATTGAAAAGACTGACTTAGGATTTGATTTGCCATTAGGAACGGAATGTCCAGAAGACTGGGATGACGTTATTGTTCCTATGCTTTTGTCTGAATGCTCTATGTAAACGAACGTAACGGTCTCAACGCATGAATATTATTCGAGAATAATAATAATGATCTCACAGCATGACTACCGAATAAAGAATGGCAGTACGGCATTTGGTTCGCAATATGTATTACACTACAGAACAGGAAACACATAATTATTAGAATAAGCAGACACGATATGCATCGATAAGAATAATTAAACACGGATATTCATTTCTTTTTTAAATGCAGCAATTTTATCAATACGTTCTTGGAGCACTCTGGCCAACTCCGAGCCCAAAACTTCAGGCTCTTCTATGTCATAACACGGCATTTTCATAAGAACGGAAATCCGTCCGTTTCCGATCCAAGCGCCGGTGATGGCTCCGGCCATACTGGCAATGACGTTGGTATCGCCCCCCATAGAAATTGCCAGGATGATGCAACGATCAAACGCGCTTTCCGTAATAATTCCTGCGACAGGTGTCATCGCGCGTAGAGCACAGTAGATAGCCAAAGGAACGGCTTCCAACGCCTTGATTCCGTTGCCTAAGGCACTGACAACGGCTTTCGGATCAGTATTGTCTGCCAGGAACGTTTGAACCTTACGGAGACGGTTACTGTAAAACTTGAACTGATTATCCACCTCCATCTTTTTGCAGAAACTAATAAGAGTAGCAATAAAGCTAGCAGCGTCTGGCTGGTGGATATGCAATGCTTCAAAAATAGCACGAGCTTGTAACTTAGCCCCACGCACGGCAAGTAAATTGCCGTGTGTTAAGCTCGAACTTTCATCAACTTCTTTTAGAGCAGAGTCCAGATCAAAACAGTTAAGCAAAACCAGCGGTGCCACTCGAACTGCGGCACCGTTTCCATACGAGCCACTTCCACGGAATTGTTGGGCGGCCGGAAAATATACTGTTTTGGTTTTAATTCCGTTAAGTTTCCACGCAAAGAACACATCTTTGATTGTCGTAAAAAACTTTCGCCTCTCCGGAAATTCAAAGTAGCAATCGGCCATGTACTGAGCAACGTGAACATCGATAAATGAACCAGAATCAACAATAGAACGGGCTACAGCGCTCGTTAGATACGATGCGTCGGTTGGTAGCCAGCAGTTTTTAGAGAACAACGTATCCACTACGTGTTGAACAGCGATTGGTTGGCAGTCACGCTTGGTCTGTTTGAACAGCCCACCAGCACAGTCCCCAATATACGCCCCTATCAAGCAACCTCTGAATCGAGCAGAGTCAAGCACAGTTTCAGAAGTCATTTTCAAAATTTAGAAGTACAACTCGGTTTCTAAATTTCTAAAATGGCATCGTTTCGCGCTGTTATACCGCCGGTTATGCTTCGAACACCGCAAGCCAGGGACGTTAAAGTGCTTGGCCTCATAAGCAAGTATCGTAAAAAGAGCTTCTGCGAGCTTATGAATGCTTTGGACGATCAAGTCAAGCTCCTATTGGATCGTTTTCCATATCTGGGCGTTGGCCTGTATTTGCATTTCTGTGACGTGGCCGATGAACCAGAAACAACGGTTCAGCTCTCTTTGTGTCAGTTTAAGAATAACTTTGAGCGCGACATCATTCGGGATAAGTACCGCAGTGCGAAAGTCACAGAGTTCAACCGTTGGAAGTGGTTGCCCATCGTTAGGCGCTTGTGCTTTGCAGTTGTCGAGTCAACGCTCATGGAAATGCGCCACAACTGGAATTTCAACGGTCTTGAAAAGACAAAGGTGATTGGTTGCTTGTTTCTAGAAATGCCAGATCGATCGGGAATCCGGGTCTGGATGGATGGGATTAGTGGTGAGGAGGCGGAGCTTCCATTGTTCAACTATCAGTTTCATCTGGTTAAACCGTGGGTGACCATGCAACTTCTGACGCGAGGCGCATTTCATGGACCAGATCATTATTTACCTGAGTCATCATCTTCATCGGATTTCGATCGATTTGAAGTAGACCAGATTGACGGAGTTGTAGCAGATGGACCAAGCACTAAACAAAATGGAGGATCAACAGGACCCAATGGAGCCGAGACCTAACCTGAATAGCAACTGGTTTTGGCTGTTCTATTATGGGATTCCCTTTATGCTCTCCCAGTGCATTCGTATTGTTTGTGTAATTTCACTGAAACTGTATGATAAAATACCTTTGAAGGATGTGATTTTTCCATTAATTAAATTCTTGTTCGTGGAAAGTCGTCGTCTGCTGGGTTTCCCACCCGATAAAAGTAATGGAGACTAATGTGACTGATATATTTAATCAACCCTTATCTTTCTTAATATCTGGAAGCTCTGATTCTGGTAAATCTACGTTTGTGGCCAACCTATTGCGTACTAATAAAATTCGTCCTAAACCTGCGCGCGTCTTCTGGTTTTACAAACAATATCAACCGTTATATGATCAACTTTTAAGCGAAAAACATCCGATAGAATTTATAGAAGGCTTGCCAGAAGAAATCTCTAATGCAAAATTCTTTGACAAGCATTACAACAATCTGTGTGTTATTGATGACTTGCATTTGGAGCAAAACACCAGTAAGCATGTTGCTCAACTGTTCTGCAACGGTGGACGGCACTCTAACACGTCAGTTGTTTACCTGACGCAAAATCTATATTTCAAACAATCTTTTGGACGGGACATTCGATTGAATGCTAAAGTCATTGTGAGTTTTAAAAACCCGCAAGATAAACAACAGTTGCAAACGTTAGGCCGATAAATTTTTCCAAACCGTTTGAACTACTTTATGGATGCGATCAATAAGTGCTTCGACCGACCATACGGTTATATTGTTATTGACCTTCAGCAATCAACCGACGACCGTTACAGACTGCGCACCGCCATATTTGGCGAAAATAAAGCCAATGCCACAGAAGTCTTCGTACCAGCATAATGGAGAAGAGCAAAACCGTTGCACATCTGGACTTATTGACAGCCGTTGCAAACAGCAAGCCCAAGCTAGCCAAAGCCATTGTTAAAAATTCTGAGGACACTCTGATTGATGCCATTACTGAATGCGCTTTACAAATTGTAACGGGTACCGTTCCAGTCACGGAGCCAAGCAAAGCTGAGCGGGTTAAAAAAATTATGCCGTATATCAAGATACTTGCGAAAAAGAGTATCTCGAAAAAACATAAGCGTAATTTTCTCGTTCAGAAGGGATTTGCTATTTTATCTCTTATTATTCCGCCTGTACTATCATACGTGTTGGGACGTGTTTAATATGGCCCGGCGTATGTATTTAATTAATGAGGACCAAATGCGAACTTTGCGTCCCCCAACTCCACCACCTAGTATGCGGCAGTTTCCCGCAACATCCAGACACTTGGACAGATATGCCCAACCGTTGCATGACGCCGAATCTCATCTGCACCATGTACTGCGTGATCCAGCCCTAACTACCGGACAAAAGCTGATTACGTACGATGACGCTTTGGATCGCTATCAAGGGCTTGTCAGCCAAGCCCAAGGCCCTGTACTGCAGATTACACCTAGCACAAAATCTACAGAAGAAGTAGAATCAACAAATCCTTCAAAGATGGTGGACTATATGCCGAAAACGCAGAAAAAGGCAGCCGAGGCGCTACTGAGATTTTTATCCGGCCACACGAACATACGGATTTCTGAACGTCACGAGCCTGTTATTAACGGAAATGTCATAGCAGGTGCTAACGTGGTGGACTTAATTAAATGGGTCACGGCTACCAACAATCCAGGACAAGGACCAAGGCCTCAAGGGCTAGATGTGTTTTTGAATGAGCTACGGAAAGTGCATGTACCAAGTAGTTTTTTTCCTAATACTAAACGACGTGAAGTGTTCTTAGACTTTGTGCCTAGTTCATCTACTACTGTAACACCGACAAAGAGTTGGGCAACGTGAATTTATTAAACATTGAGAACTTTATACATTGGCTGTGCGCACTGGTTACATTTCAAACAGCAATTCAAACATTGATATGGATTAGAACACACACGAAGATATTTACGAGCAAACTCACGTAACAGCATGTCATTTTTACCCAGGCACTTTGGGTAGTTGAATTTGTGAACAATTGCTTTTAATGGTAAACCCCGAAAAGCAAAGTACAGGAAGAAAATACAAAACATGCCACACAGAGCAGAGTTATAGTCTTGTATTTGAATTCTGTTCTCTTCATATATACCCATTGTCCACGGTAACATTTCGCACAAAAAGCGATCAATTTCGATGCGATAGAAAAGTGCAGACTTTCCAAATGAATCGAAAAAACACGCTCTGCCTTTGCTGCTTACGAACACTGCCACCCAATGACTTCCCGGCTGATCATGTTTGTTTGTGTTAATGATAAGTCCGAGAGGGAGCTTGGGGTTCTTGAGTACTGGCAGGCGGTCCCTCGGGTACACACCTAAGAATCTGACATTGGGGTTGCACTAAGCTTCGTGCTTCATAATGTCCAGGATCTGTACTGTTTTCATTTCTATAGGCGTTTGTATGGGCAAAAGATATTCCTTCGTGAATCAATTTTGATCAGGCCATTTCGATTATAGTATATCAAAACGGAGTACGTCGCAGCCGTTGCGACCGTAAATGTTAATGAGAGACCAAGGACTCCTTTCTTTGTTGGGTTAACGCACGATCCGTCACCGACATCCGGCTCCAGATTAAAACCGAAAATTGCGTAACCTAGCGGCCAGTCAGCAGAATCAAATAACAAACTTGAATTCTTAAACAGCATCCCGCTGGTTTCTAGAAGGCTGAGGTATCCATCTCTGTAGTTTCCGGCGGTTGGTGTTAGCTGCAATGGCTTACTGGGAATAGGTTCTGAGTTGACATAGGTCACGATTTGACTAATGGTTAAGTGGGGAAAATTGTACGGGTTCTTGGTAAAATTTCCAGCAATGGCTCTAGAGTCCACGAACGCCACAAGCATCTTTTTGGGGATAACACCACGGAAAAGATCGTCCCGTGACCAGAGAGTGCTCCCTTGTGGTATTGTGAGTTCCAAAAGGCCAGACTCAACAAATGGAATTACAGCATTTCGTTTTTGTAGGAGCATTTCATGCGCTAATAAAAATTCCGGGTCCAATTTGATCTTTTTGATTTTCAGTACGGCATTAACTATGTTGATTTTAAGATCAGCATTTTCATCGGTAGCTATAAGAGCAAACTGATCTCTAGACCGCGTAAGCGAAAGTTTTATATCAATTTTAGGAGGTATAAGAAGCGGCTGATTAGCAAGATCGCTAGGAAACTTGCAAACCATGTGCCAGATAGTTCCATTCTGGACATGTTTTCTTCGTGCCAAATAGCCTTTATTAAGTACGTCGTTATTAGGATTCGGGTTAGGTAGAGTTAGCAGTGTCGTATCATGAGCGCTGGCGGTATCGAGAATAAAGCCATATTGGCGCATCTGATCTTTCGCTTCGCTTCCGTAATTTAGTAAATGTTCAAAAAATGCACCATAGTGAGACAGCGTAGGTATAGTAGAAACTGGTTCATTGTTGAATAATAGTTCGTGGCCGGAAAACAGGCTCCTCGAGAACAGGTTGACTGGGCCGAACGCTGTAGCAGCGGCTGGATTCGTTCCGTCAGCCTTCTTGACAGTAACATCGAGTAAGAGTTCGCTATGAACTAGGTCGACGGCTTCATCGGGAGTGCTGTTAATCTCCCAATTAATTGCGTCACTGGTCAAGTTGTTTCCGATGGCGGTATAAGAGATGTATTTAACCGACTGGATAGCTGTTTGGGTTGGCGGTAAGGACCAATGGTCCAACTCCGACTTTAGGCATAAAGGCGAGAACGGGTGAATTCCTTCCATAATGCTGTTCAGGATTTTCTTCTGAAGAATTTAGGTATACCACAAAATCCGCGTTTGCGAGATGCTTTACGCCGACGCAACTTGGTCTTTCGCCTCCGACGAATCTTCGGTTTCAAAATAACTTGCAGCTTCCGAGTGTGTCGCTTACGTCTACGACCACGTTTGCGTCCGCTTCCACGTTGCATTCTTGTTGCAATGTCACTCACGGCTTCTACTGTTCTGTTCTGGGCTGAATCCAACAGTGTTTGCTTATTCGAAAGAATATCCGAAACAACTGATCTTCCCAGCTTCACCAAGCGTGGAAAAATTATATGTCTCGCCGTTCGCGCCAAACTTCCAAAAAAATTTCCGAAAGCACCGTACCCATGCTGGTTGTAACCGGTAGATGGCGCTGGGTATTCGGGAGCCAGTAACTGCAGGTATACCTGTGCAGGTATATGCGTTGGGGCAACTTCTTCATCCATGGAGAAAAGCTT